TTTCATTTTCATAAAAACATTCAACCAGACCTAGACTGGATTTCGTTACGCGTTACGCACAGGGTGACCATTTATTTGTCATAGATAATATTAGACATTTAGTTGGCATAATGATAGCTATAAAAATAGTTGTTAAAGTTTTTAAATTGGTAATGTTGAAAATTATAAATGCTAATAAGGATAGTAATTATAGTAATCAATGTKTACAAGAGCATGTGGTGACTAAATCATTAATTAACACTAAGTATCCTTTTTTACGATGCTTTGATAATCCTTCAATGTCAAAGTGAAAATAATTGCAAATATCAATAAGCAAAGATACGTTCAGACTCTTAAGCTTGTCTTTGGAATGTAATTCACAAATGTTATAGGTATCGTACGTTATTGGATGTGTTAGCTGGAACTCTTCAATTATATCATCTCGTACTGAAGTGTATGACATTTGTTCTTCAACAGAAAGAGCATCAACTTCATTAACCTGCTTGACTTCCTTATATTTCAGGAGGCCCTGTTTGGTCTTAGTAGCTTTTCTTGAAAAATAAGATTTWATCTGCTGTGGACTCAAAAATTCTTCCATTGTAAATCTTCGCTCCCCCGTGTCTTTCCTGGCATGTCGAAGGTCCCTTGCCACTTGRGATGGATCACATTTAATCCCAGTTGATAAACCAATTTCAAACTTTTCGTCCAGATATTTTCGTTGATTATCGTTGAATCTGCCTGACTTCTTAGACTTTCTCAATGCCCATCCTTTGTCTAATTCAAGACTGTTGYGAGAGGCTGTTGTTCTGSTACATAAATGAGGCTGAAGGCTTGTCCCTTCATCGAGCTTCTGAGCATACAACATCTTTGCTTTGTCTAGCAAGGTAAATGTTTCTTTACGTAGCTTACACTTTCCATACGCAAGATGGCTTTCCAGATTTGCATATCTTTTAAATGACATGACGCATCCTTGWGATGGACAGGAGAATAACTCTCCACTTGTTTGATCAGTGCTATCATCTTCTTYATCATCTTCTTCATTCGTACTGTCATCAACATTACTCTCATTGGATGGCTGGCATGAAAAATCGCTGTTCATAAAGTCACCAAGTGAAAAGCTAACATCGGCTTGCTCATTAGTCGTTTCCAGAACTTGAACTGTGAAAGGACAAAATACATGAAACATTGCTGCCGGAAAACAAAGTCCACCTCATACAGTTTAGCTTACCTGGGAGTTTACTCCATAATACCTTTCTACCATGGCCGATATCATATGACTTCCACACGGTTACACTTGTGTCATTGTCATCATACAAGAAATTGTTGAGAGAGCTTATTCCGTCCCACTTGCCTAGGATGTTATATCGGAACTTTGGATCATCAACAAGGGCTACTCTTACACCCGATAGGCCTCCATGGGAGAGAATGGCTTTCTTGAATTCTTCAACACTTTCGACGTCATTACCTTCATTGATATATCTTCTGACGTGACCTTTCACCGTCGCTGCCTTGCGATCACATGCTSCTTTCCCACCTTGAGGATCGCTGAAATCGACTCTCTTGATGTGAATACCGGTGCTTGCAGAGATCTTAGGACAGGCAGTAAGAAGGGACACGCTATGATAACAACCAGCGTTGTCTTGTCTGAAGTACGCGGTTTTTATCTCAGGATGATCTTTTTTAATGGTTCTTAGAACATGCTCCATTATCCATCCCACGGTCTCACTTTCTTGGGTGGAGTTTTTAACTATGTGGATCAGAGTTTGGTGTTGTAGGACTTTCTGGACCTTTCTAACAACAACAGAAATATGCCAGGAAATTCCTCTTTTTCCAAACCAATCCCGTTGGTGCTCTCTATATTTTTGTGGCAGAAATTTCATTGCCCAATCCTGTGTTATCAAAACAGATTCCTCATCGAGCATCTCAAGGACATCTGTACGAGCCTTATCTTGCTGCACTGATCGTATAAGATGAGACTTCCAGCTTTCAATGTTCTTGACAGCCTGGTCATGCAAGTAAACCATATCGTCGTCATCCTTGCACAAGCGCTTTATCTGCTCTCCTATCTCAAGGCATGTTATCTTTAGTTGTTCACACGAGTAACAAAATTCATCATGTGTGTGAGTGCAGTCACTTTGAAGGGCTTCTTCGGCTGCATCGCTGAGTGAGAATGAGAGGCAATGGTCTGCTATTTTAGCTGATGACGTAATATGTACCTTAAATCAAWCATAAAACAGTGAATGGAATTTAAATACTCCTTTCAATCATGGGGTAAAAACACTCACCTTGTAATCAGTTTTTAGGTACTGTTTTTCTTGTTTTAGTGACTGCTGATAAGACAAAGCGATACGCTGGTCAAGTCCATGATCGCTRAGTTTGTCGACTATTTTTGACAAGTCATCAAACGCTGTAGCTCCCTCTGCAGAAATATAGTCTAGCCCTTGAAGAGACTTTCGTACTGATGCTGAACATGAACTTAAAATTCGGTGGATTGTGCTGTAACTAAATGGTTTGAAAGAGGTCTCATCGCAATATTGTACATATTGCTTGATAGTGCGCTCTTTAATCATATTCCTTATGACATTTGGTGTTTCTATCACTTGACCATTTGATAACTTTAGGGTTCGTTGGCCAAACGGAAGATCTTGTACTACATGTGGGCTGGTTATAAAAGTCAGTAGATGATCAAGTTGATCTTCGTTGACACGCATTCTAGTAGATCCTTTGCTAATGACTGCAGCTCCACGACCATACAGCTCCATATGACGGCGAGCTGCCTTGACTCTGTACTTAGTTATCCCGGGAATATACAACTGGAGCTTTGAGAATGTTGTTAAATCTGCCATAATTGATAGAACCTGTCGACGAGTATCCCATCCAGTTGCGTGATGATATGTTACTGCCAATGCCTTCAAATACATATCCTCCGTCATATCATCTTTTTCTAGAGACAGTTGTTTTTCGACCAGTCTGGATCTTTTTACTGCGTCCCAAAGCGCTCCACAATCTTCAGGTGCAATAACATCTAGAAGTGCAACTATAGACTCACTTGCCTTGAATACATGTACATTTTGAGTACGCTGAGTCGAGTTACTGAATTTCTTTTTGGATTGGGTGACAGTCTCAACTCCTGATGCAGCTAGAAACTTGTTAAGGGTATTTCGACGCTTGCTTAAATCACCAAGGCCATTGCCGCTTTCCGTTGACCCGGAGTTTTCGCTACTGCTTCCAGCATCTGGCTCGTATAAGCTTTGATTAGGTGATGGCAATAATTTGAGGTTTTCGAATTTTTCGCACAGCAAAGTTTCAGTTGAAGTGTCCTACAGAAAACAACTTGTTACAAAAGTAAAGATGGGTAACTAGCGGTTAAACTAGTGTGATAATTTACAATTTACATTTTTTAACACAACTGTTACAAAAGTAATTTTTTAAGCTCTTTTCGTTATAAATTCATATTGTATCTAGTGCTTGCCATGATTGATGTGAGATTTTTGTGTTGTACTAAGGCAGACCGATAAATGTATAGACTGTATACTCACATGGTATGATGTTGAAGGCTCCGATGTTTTGTCGAATGACACTTCATGGTCGGATGAATTATCATCAGGAGAGGATACGCATATTTTCGGTTGTGCTTGTCGAGCACTAGATTTCTCTTCAAGCAAACTTCGGCATCTTTTGCATATAGCTATAAAAAGAAAATAGAAATATAAAGAATAACATAATTAAACGAAGCATAAAGTACTTAGATTATACTTACGCGAGCCAACTNCTACAATCGTTGCCAAAATACCTTGGACCGTACAATTATTTGCCTTCAGCCTAACATTTTTCTCCTTTATTTTTTGACAGTTTTCCCCCTTAGCCCCCTTTCATCAATGTTGGGTCTTGTTTTGGATGCTTGTGTGCTATGGTAACATGATCAATGACAACATTGCATTTAGGGGGTCAGGGGGAATGAAATTGTCTGCGGGTGTTGCTTAAAATGAGGAAATTCGCTGGAATGGTCCAAGGTTTTTGTCAACGATTGTAGTAACAGGTATGGTGTAAGAAAATACCTAAGTCATTAGCAATAATTTATTTGGTACACAAAATATGAGAATTGGAAGCAATGATTTACCTTTCAACATCCACATTAGCAAGGACAGACTTGCAATGRCGCTCAAACAGAGGAAGTCTCTGAAACATTAGTACAATAAATTACCACTGACATCTTGCTTTATTATGGATATCAATGACAGGAAGCTAGTGGGCTTTAAATGTATTAATATGAAACATACCTCWGTAACAAGCTGTTCAAACATAACGGGATCTATACTCCCAAATACATCACTTAATCTGGATGTCACATCAACAATCTAACATAATACGAATGATTAATTCTAGTTAATATTATCAATATTATCCATATGAATACATGTAGCACTGAGGATTTTATCAGGAATTGCTTATGGATGGCTTTGATGATCATTATAATTATATAATAGAATATACCATACGTCATACCTCATGAACCATGGTGAAGAATCCTCCTCTAATAATCAAACAAGAAATAAAAAAAGAGGAAGAAATAAGACAAATGGTTGGGAAATAAATGAGAGGAAGTAAAAAGGGTACTCATGACCTTCAGGCAATTGGAAAAATCACCCCCATCAAGCAATCATTAAAACAAACTAGACAAGCTAGACATGATTATCACTGAAATGAGATATTTTCAATATTATGAGAGGATATAACAGCTTAATTTTGTCTCAGTTAATTCTTTTCATTTTTGTTCATCAAGTATCTATTTCCTTGCACTTAAAACAAAATATTGGTAATGGGCAGGATATGACAAAATGGGTAATCAAGTATTTTGTTTATGGTGAGAGAAAATAACAATAATTATTACAAAATGACAAGCTCACCCTCCAAACCCTTCCAAAGCAAATGCTTGAATAATTGGCCATTTCTCTACTACAAATGTATCAAAGGGCTTCTGTGTAGATTCTAGTAAAGAAGAAGCATGTTTTAAATGATTTTCCATAAGGATTATTATTCACTGGCTTACCATATCCATATGGGATACCAATCTTTTCGCATCCCTTTACCATTGAAATAAAGCTTACTATTTTAAATTCTTCAGCTTTTTCCTCATCATCCTTAAAATAGATAAAATTATGCAATGTTGTTCAAAAATAACTAGGATGCTAAACCCACATAATWATCTAGCTCTCAAACTGACATATTAATTTTTTATCAAGCAAACTTTTAAAAAAATCAATAAATTCAAAATGTGTTACACATATTATGATAAAATCAATTAATTAGTGTAATGCGTAGTGTTTTTAACTAGATGCATTAAAAACAGTGTCTTATAAACAAAACAGTTTCACCTTGGGACAACACATATCAATAGATGCTCTCTTAAAAACTACCTAGTTACAGAATGAATTGTTTTGTCCACCAGGTGGACTCCAAGGTGGCTATACTGAACCTATACATGCAATGAAATAGTTATACCTCATCTTTGGCTAGACAATGTAGATGTAGATTCCTCCAGTGTGCAATGTAGGGTAGAAGGTAATTATAGTTGATAGGATTACAGTAAACATGAACACTTGTTGGTTTGACAAAGACTATCACATCTAAATGGAACAGCCATGCATTGATTAACACTATACTACAGTGGATCAATCAATCAATCAATCAATCAATCAATCAATCAATCAATCAATCAATCAATCAATCAATCAATCAATCAATCAATCAATCAGAACATCAATCAATCAGAACATCAATCAATCAATCAATCAATCAATCAATCAATCAAAACATCAATCAGAACATCTGACCATCAATCAATCAAAACATTTGGCCATCAAATCAATACTGATATCAATTAATCAGAATATCTATCCATCTACCAACACATAAGTTAATCGATCAACTGATCAATCAATCAACTAACCAATCAATCAATCTATCTATCAATCAACCAATCAATCTATCTATCTATCAATTATCTAATCAATCAATTGATCTATCTATCAACCAATCAATCTATCTTTCTATCAACTGATCAATCAATCAACTAACCAATCAATCCATCAATCAACCAATCAATCTATCTATCAACTAATCAATCAATCAATCGATCCATCAATCAATCAATCTATCTATCTATCTATCTATCAACTAATCAATCAATCAATTGATCTATCTAACAACCAATCAATCAATTAAGCAATTTCTGATTCTACAAAATTATACCTTCCAGCACTTCATCTGTCAGCCTTACACTGAGAACAAAATCACAAAATTATTTACTTATCTAGTAAGTATTATTCAATCAGATTATTATTAATAAATACAAGCAATATTATCAACGTTACCTGATGCTGTCAGCTGATATGTTGCAGTATCCAAAAAGTAAATAGTTTAATAGTTGTTTGGTTCCACTGTTGTATCTATTCATAAACCAAAACGTCTTGCATGACATTAATCATCCCATCTATYCATTCTTTTATTTCATTCACTCATTCAACTTATGTATTTTTCTCATAAATCCTTCCATCCATCCATTCATTCATTTTCCCATTTTATTATCTATTAATTAATGTCTTAATCAACTTATTGAACAATGTTTTTAAGTAGTTTTGATCCAATTCAACAATACTTCTTACCTGCTATCAATTCCTAAAACAAAGAGAGTTAATTCAATTAGTTAATAACTCTAATAAAATCACAGGGTATTTGAGGACTRTTTCTCCCAGTTTTTAAAAACTCACCAAGGATGCAAAGCATTCCATCCAAGCCATTAGTCTTTAATAAGCCTTGTACCCGCCTTAATCTTGAACAACTAAAATGGTCAAMACATTTGTGATTGTTATATGTGAATACTAAATCTAGAGGGTAGTCCAGACTTGTATAGACAAAAATTTAATTTTAGTTTTCATATAGAACTCCTCATGTCAACACTGAAAAAAAAAAAATGAAATATTAATGCAAAATTAAACTCTACTGATTTGTTGACATCGAGCACCTGATAAACACTTTTAATTTAGCCCAAGGCAATGGTACTCTATCTCAGGACACTTTAATAAATTGGATTTTAGTTTTGAGGTAGATATTGTTGAGCTACAGAAAGTTGAAATTAATACGTATCAAATTTCTTGGACTGTCAAAGTTAAAAAAACACATTTTATAATCAATTATCAATAGAGAAAAATAAAGTTTAATATAAACTAAATAATATAATATTTATATTGAAGAATAAGTTTGTCTTACTAAGGTAAATCAATGTCAGATAGAAACATAATTATATTGATTTATAGCTCCCAATTTACCTTACGCACCCTGTCGAATATTCTTATATGCATGCATGAATAAATCAAAAAATAAATAAATAAAAATAAATAAATAAATTATTCATTGCTAATTTATTACTATTGTGTAAGAGCATCGAGCTTTGAGGATGCCCCTAGAACATTTTATTATTATTATTATTATTATTATTAAACCTCATAGAGAGTACATGGCAGTTGGCTAGCAATAAACAATACACAGCTTGTACAAAGTATTTCATATATAAGGGATTTAGTTGATTGCTTGCTAGTTTTGTAAACTAATCAGAATTGCTTACTTCTGAAATATTGTTAGAACAATGGCCCAATAAACAATAACAAAAGGAATATTCTAGAACACTTGATCATCTTCAGAGAACATATAGAAGAGGAAACATCTTAAAATATATCATTTGAGATGATAATTTGATCTTTTCAATATCTAAATATCATTGATATATTGAAGGAAGGAATTAAAAGGATTACCTTGATTCAGATCTGGAAAAAAAACAAAAAATATAATAAAACGTTTTTTTTTAATCAAAAATAATTTGTTTTCTGATTGAACAGGGATTATTCTATCTCCTGTGAAGATAAAGAAATTTCCTATAAATTACCAAAAAAATCATACAAAGACAAACTGCTGGGCCAAGCAAATAGAATCTGGATGTACATGAGTAAGGTGCTGTGTTTTATAATACTTGACCCATGAATATTTACATGTGGACATCAAATGTGTATATACGAGCTACAATAAACATGTATAAACACTACAAAGAGGAGCTAATAACTAAAGAAATAACCTACATTTGTTTTGCACAAGCTTGAACGCCTAACAAAAATATTGATATGACGGTTATACAAGGTATATGAATTACAAAAAACTGACAAAAAGCGTGTTTTCATGTGAATAACACTCAAACCATTATGTTAACATACTAAGTTTTCATTTTTAAGCTTCCTGAATGATGGTATGTTTCCCGGATGTCAACACAGTGGGAGAGATCATGGAAAATATTGGAGAATTAAACCAAACTTGAACGACAAGCATGATTGAAGGATGGAATATAAAAACAGAATAAATGACATTTTTATTTATATTATTTCAAAATTATTACCCTGATAAAGACATAGCTGTTAAAATTGTATAAAATTGTTTTGTAAGCCATGTTCTTGAATGCTGATTCAAACATCATTATTAATCACATATGCAACATTATTTACAGCGATGTTATTAAAATGTTTTAGTCCAGCCGTTACATATTAAGTTAAATTTTCTTTAAAGATGGTTAGAATTATAAAAAGTGAATGAACTTTCTSAACTGATAAAAGCAAATTTAAAAACAGAAAGCATGTTATCTAGTCATTTAGCACTTTTTACAACTAGTAAAGTATTAAAATGACACTAATATCTAGTATTTCCATTCATTATGTCTACAGTGTAGCTCAAATAATTCAATCTAGATGTGTTCACAGCTACAGCTATGCAATCAAGCTATATWTGATCATTTTATGTCTGAGAGAAAAGGGCTTTTAGAATAATACTAGGAGGTAGAAAGAATAAAAAAATTCTCCTGCTTTAATTGAGTGAAATGAAGAAAGATAGCATGGATGCTACCATAAATTAATATGAAAATATGTACATAAAATATTCAACTGAAAATTATTCTTGAATTTCTGGCTTATAATTACTTAATATTTATCAAATTCATGGTGTTGATAAAAAGCAATTGAAACTCCTACTTTAAATTTTAAAATGTTTTTAAGTTGGACGTACTTTAAAATTGAAAAGAACAAACATGTAAGTTGTACAATTGCATGTACAACAAAAATGTTTTGCCACTGACCTTTTCAAATATTTTCCCCCTTAAATTTACAGGTAATACAGTGTAGTAAAGGTTACTAATTACTGATCATATCATTAATTATTAATAATCATTATCAGCTGTAATTACACAATATGAATAAATATTTTATCTGAGCCATCCACTGACTAGCCAGTTGTGGCATTTTTATCTCCTAACCAATAATTTATTCACATTAACTGGTATCAACAAATGGCATTTTTGAACAATATTGTTTTACTTTTAGAAAGAGATAATAATCTCAAAGGTTTTTAATGAAATTCTCAAAGGAGAACCTTAAGAATAGACAAGAAATAAGTAATTTGTTTAACAAAGCTATAGGTGGTGTATTATCACATGTTGAAGACCATATGGTTAGTAACACTATAATATTATTGATAAGAACTATGAGCATACTATCAAGTAGTCATCATACCATCAAGATAGTTGATTACCATGTGAAATAAAATWATACTACAGATATCATTAGAGCCTATAGATTAATATTAGAAATTGTAAATGACTATAACATGCTGTGCATTTTTGCCTGTAGAATTAGATTGCATTAGATATACTCATTAATGGGGCTACAACAAATATCTTGATGGCGGTGGCCTTCTTTAAGTCAYGATAATTAAAACACTGATAAGAGTTTATGTACAAGTCAACATCATGTACGTGTCAAAATGTTAACTCCCTATCACTGAGTGAGTGATATATAATGTGATAAGCAAAATTAATGTTGTTCCCAATACATATCACATACATTATATAAGTGTTATCATTTTGAGTCCAGTATTTCTTGATACTATGCCTTAACTAGATCTACCAGTATTATCATAAAGGTTTCATTGTTTTGAAAGTCATTCACCCCCAGTCAATCTATAACCACAAAGGMTGGCAAAGTTGTTTGCAAACACCTGCCCTCTGGTTCAAATATCGATATGATATTCATTAYAGCTCTAAATAAGAAAATGTCAACATTTTTTCCACTATATTACTAGRTATAAACCACAAAAGTTGTTTTATTTTCTATCATTCTCTTATGATTTTAATAGTCTTGTTAATATACAATAATACTGAACAAGCTGTGGAWGGCATGTATTAAACCAACTGATGTTATCAGGTTGACCATGCTATATTTTATTTGACAAATTATTATTAATGTACCAAGCCACTAGTTAAATTAAATCATGTTAAAATGAACAGAAATTGTACAAAAACATGAGCAATCACGTGTAAGTCTGACATGGTACAATTCTGATGGTTCAGAAATATTATAATACCGCTCTTCCATGATATTATTATGCTATTTTTGCCACAGATAATTAAACTTAATCTTTTTGTTTACTCCTTATCACATAGAAGTTAAACAAAAGAAAGAGAGAAAGTTTGRAAAATAGCAAGGAAAATATAGCTAAAGCTGTTCAAAGCTATTAACATGTATATGGCCTACAAACCTCCATTCTTTTAAGAAATTAAAAACCTTTTTGACTGAGGAGGTCTAATCTAAACTGTTTCTTTTTTTTAATTCAGTCTACAAGAGACAATAATTCCCTTCACACTGACAGATAATGCATTCAAGTTTGCATGTTAGATACATAAATTATCAACTAGCAACAAATGATTGCCACACCTGAATTGTTCCAATAAGACTCAAATGCCTTTGTAAGAGATAATTTAAAAAAATGATTGATCAGCATCTTTGCATTGTAGTTTTCAGAGAAAATACTCAATCATACTTACAATCAATAAATTATTAATAACTGTAAATTTGACTATTAGTATCCTGGCATGGCCTCATGGGTTATAAACTGGTATTCCACTCAATCTTTTGGTCTAATGAATTGTTAAATACCACACAAGCAGTAAATTCATTTATCTTAGTTATGGCACATATTTGTTGGCCTGATACACTTCGGAAAACTCTCAGTCATTAAGTGCTAGATAAATTATACTGGAAAACAATACTGCTCTACATATACCCTCTAAAGAAAACCTTTGAAAACTTGCTTAAAAYATAATAGTCATTAAAATATAGTCAAAATAGTGAGATAAAGTGCTTATTAACTGATTTAATCAAGTCTTTCCAAATGGCGCTCTTGGTTATTTGTACAGGCTTTGCCAGCCTTAGTAAATGTGGCATGTTGTAAAGTCCCATATTTTCCTATACAGCCCTCCACCCCACTCAATAAGTTGTAGATAACTTTTAATCATCTGAAATCATTTTGAGCAATGTCAGCAGTTCTAGAGACATATTGTGAGGTGGCACATGTGATTTCCAGTGAAATAGCTGGCACTTGTGGATTACCATGTAAGCAGTGTTTAAAATATATAAATACATTTCACAATATAGCGAATTGTAATCAAACAGGAAAGACATGTTAGCTCAAAGCTTTAGCTCAACAATTCAATGTTAACCACCGATGAAAATTATACGCCAATGATCTAGGTTTCCATGGAATTCAGATGTAATTTTTGCTCATATTGTTTAATCATCGCACTCATTATCATCATTATCATACCACTTATGACAACAATATTTGTGAAAAGGTAAATTTCATAGTCATATGTAGCAAGATTGCTGCTATTAAACAGTTTCTAGAATGTTCCCTAAAGTATTAAGATAAACATCATGACGAACTTAGATTCAATATTAAATACTGTTTTGCAGATAAGCGATTCGTTGCGGAGGTTGTCAAAACGTAACTTACATCGTATTTATTGTAAACATTGAAATTCAATCTCACGACATATTTGAATGAAAATCMCATGTAACAATGCATATTTTTTCTGCTGTAATTCGTGTTATGTTGTTGCTAAGCCACTTTTATCGTAAGCGGTTACGTTTAGAGTTATGATCAACAACGATCACTTTGAAACCAAAACGTTTGAGGCAAAGACCAAGCTGGCCTGCATGTTTGAATAGCTCAAGTGCAGATTCTCATCTTTTTAATATTCTTATTGCAGCTATGAAAATATTGCATATACAGGACACGAAATTAAGTCTTGACCAACTCCTAAAGACAAAAGAAACATTCTGGAGGTCCTTGAAAGGATTTTAATCATGTTTTGAAACTCAAAATGGACTTACAGGCAGTTTTAGAAGCGGGAACTCAAGCATCCTGTCAGTTTCTTAGTCGTACTTTCAGAAATCGGAGATTTATTTGTAATTTTACGTCCGTTTCGGTTTCTTTAACCTATTAAAATTCTCATCTCTCTTAATTAAAATGCGAMCCATTGAAATATACCCAAATTTGTGGATTTCAAAGACAAATCTTGCGGTGAAATGAGATTGCAGGCTGTTCAAAAACCATAGACAAAAACGCCTCAAGAAATAATCGCAAAACCATTGAAATCTTCTACCTACCTCACAGAAGGTGAAAACAGCTGATACTTTTGCTTCTTCCTTCCTGAAAGCGGCAWGGTCAGGGGAATTTTGCTTGCAAAATCAGCCATTTCATATCAAGTCACAAACTTTCCTTCGTCATGGCCGCCATTTTCCCTTGGAAACGGCTTCAAAATGACGTCACGGAATTCTTGGCTTTGATTGGTTAAACAGCACTTTTGCCGCGAAATCCAAAATTGCGCGAAGCAGCCTACCCGCGAAAAAAGTTTTGTTTACATTTTTCCATCTGACTGAGGGCAGAGGGGAGCGATTATGCATGTAAATAGTTGCATCGCAAAACAAAACAAAAGACGCCCGTTAACACTCGTCTGTCTTTATTACTTTACAACTTTCGTTTCTGCTTTTTCGATAAGTTTGTTTATTAGGATTATCGCATTGACTTGATATTTTTGCCATTGTGTATTTTGGGCACCGAAACCTCTGCAAAAAGATAATATATGTAAAAATATACAAGAACTAGGAGGTTGAGGTTACACACAACTAAGACTGATTTAAACTTTTCCAATCCTGAATGTAATAAATAAATGCATGAATTTGAATTATGTGTGATTGATATATACAACAATCAGTGTAAGTTTGCTTAAAAATTGTTCCCTTTAGATATCTAAATATCAATACAAATCGTCCTCTTCAATAGAGGCAATGTCTAATTCTAATCCGTAATCTACGTTGAAAACTCGTCGCTCACGTCCTTTTCTTTCTGCAATAATTAAAGTTTTTTCTGTCGTTACTTTGTCAGCTAAATCAAGCTGCCTGGTTGGAGATGAGGTCGGTGTTATCATAATACTCGAGGCAGTTGCATCGAGGGGTGATGAAACAATCGGTTTCAGGATAAAGCTTTCACGTTCTGTAAAATACGGGGCTGGGAGACCTTTCGCTTCGGTTTTGTTCTGAAATAAACAAACATTTCGTTCGATGAAATGTACATCCGTGGGACTAAAGAAATCATGTTGCAACCAAAACATCACGCGATAACTTACYGAGTATTTCGGTATTCTCAACCCTCGTCTCTTATCTCTGAATCGAAAGTACGAAGACTGTAACCAGAACAAAATAAGCTAGCATTAATATATTAACTTTACAAGTTGACCGTACGGCGAGGGACTACATCCTTTGTTCGATGAATAATTTATTCAGCTTCGATTAGAGTACTCAGCAAACGAAGGAAAATACCATCTGGAATACATGATCAACACACAATTATTAGTTTTTACAAACCTCTTCCATTTTGGCAAGATCCAGAGCAGGTCTAAGATTGCTATTTCTGTCGAAGTCATCCTCAATTCTTCGTTTAATTCCGCACACACGAGCTCGTTCGAAACTCGGCTGAGAATGACTTCGTTTCAATCGCGGACATTCATCGGTTGTATTTTCGACTTTGCAGCATTGTGTAGTCTTATCCCTTTCCTTTGAGTGTGTTTTTGAATACAGATTTTGACTGAGAGCAGCAAACGCTGAGGCTGGTCTAGGTGTTGGAGAAGCTGGCGGGGTTGACATAGAATTGACAGCCGTACTATTGGGCGAGATTTCGGTCTCTCCGGAGTTTCGTGCATGGGTTTGTAAGAGATGTTCTGGTGGCGATGACATTGAACGCGGTCGTGAACCCGTCTTTGAGTATACCTTAACAGGATGCCAGACTTTCGAAGCTTTTGGAACCCAGCAACTTAAATTGTTTGCGTCCGATGATTCTTCCTCAGGAACTGAAATAGATCGACACAATTTCTTGCTGGCGGGTGGCAGAGTACTAGAATGCATAGTAGAAGAGTTGAAAATTGTTCCTTTGCACTCAGAACCTCGCAAATTGTGTGTTGGATAACTCCTTGTTCTAAGATGACCCGGGCCTTGTCTACGATCATTATGAACACGTTGCTTAAAGTCTCCTTCTGAAATGAAAGGAGAAAATGTGTTGAGGCCATGTGTTTCGATGGATGTGCTCTGCTATAAATACCCCATGTACTCATCAATGAGCCTTTCATTTGCCAATATTTCGACTCTAAATTAGCATAGATGTGATCGAAAAAATAACACAGAAGAATAATATGCCCGTTACCTAAGCTATCTCTGTGTAGTATGAAATCTTTTCTCTCGGTCGTGTTTGTGCCAATCTGAAATACAACAATATGATACAAGTTTATGCTATGAAATTACTCGGTGACTCGTACATATGTCGGCAGTGAAATCATGGCAAAACAGGCTTAAGWTTGGTACCTTCACAGGTTCGTTAGGAAGGTCTTCAAGCGATTGTTTCTTTAGCTTGTTTGTAATCAGAGTCACCATCCTGTTTCCATTGTATGAAGAACTGATTTTAAGTTCTTCGATCGGAGTTGACACGATGACTGGCAGCTTTTCGGCTCCTCTTGATCGATTTGCCCTGAAAACGAATACATAAAACCGGAACTGAGGTTTAAGAACACAAAACTTGTCTCCTTATTTCTGTTTACTATACGAGAGCGACTATCAATGTTCTTTTAGGTAAAGATTTGAGCAAGAAAGGTTGAGTACTAGCTCTTCTCGATCGACTCCTTACTTACCCGTAAAGTCGTCAGTTCATGTCACTTCAATGGATCGTAGTAAATGCGTCGTAGTTTAGAGGTTTTCGGCCCTGTGGACGAGAAATGCATCAATTTATCACTAATAGTTTTCGAGGCCTAGGGGTCATCAATGACATACTCTACCGATACTGCTAAAAAACATGGGGTCTTTCTGGTTGATCAATCGRGGCATGAATTAGAAATGAAATTTACACACAAATATTACGATGAAAAGTACAATATCGAGGTTGACATGGTATTTTATCGTTACACTCTCTCGATAATTACCTCCAAAGGGCACATCTAGCTTTTAAACAACCATTGATTTCATCGATTTGTATAAAAATGGTCTTTCGTGAAATGTCCTAGCAGTTTATGAGCAAATTTGAACAGAGTTCCTCTCACGGAGGAGCTTTTCTAGGTACAATACATGCCGAACGGGTACACACAAATCTACTGATAAATGGCATTTACTGAGAATAGATTAGTCAACCAATCACAAAGCGAGCGGATGCTGAAAGAGGCTTGTGATTGGTTCACATGTAAAGTGACGTCCACTCTTATGCTATCAATGAAAAAGTAGAAAAGTGTTTCATGCAAATCATCTTGATTCATTGGTTGAAATTTGTCAAAAAGTCTTTAATCAACGTTCTATCTACAGGGCATGCTGTACTTGTCACTCTAGTGCTGACATGGTCATTCAGAAACAGCGCAATGGAAAACATTTCAAGTGTATTATTTGTAGAAGTGCTGCCTGCTTCCTTTTTTCAAGGAAATCTTTCTCCTTTACTATACTACAATATTGTAAATTGCCACGTTGGAAAAAATCTCTTTGAACAATTGTGTCATACTACATTTCCTAAACGAAATAATTGAGGAAGTGGTTTTCCTTTTAATCTTGATAATTTTTGACAATACAACGTTGTTAATAATTTTCTATATTTCCTCTAAACCAACAAAGAATACATTATATAATTTCAGTACTATTTTTAACATGATTATATCCAGGCTAAAATAACTGCTGTTGACATGGAGAAATCTTTCTTTGTTTGCGATTTTGAGKTTTTTTCCAACAAGCTCAYCTTCACCAATATATTGCCCAGTTTACTAAAATGAACCGAAATAAAAAAGCCAAGTTGTAACACTTGAATGTAGATTCATTTCGAGGGTGCACATTTAGCTTTAAAATACCACATTAAACCACACAAGTGAATTTAAAAACTTCCAAATCTTAACCGATAACTGTTCTAAAGAGCGGGCTCTATCCGCATCAACGTTCTAATATATCTCGCTGCCTWGCTAGAACCTTCTGGGAAAGATATACCATAATCAATGCGGGAGACTTTCGAATTAAAGACCTTTATTCCGTTGATAAGCCGTTCTAAAATCAACCAATCTGTATTTGAATCTTTCTGKRTATAGTGCTTGGATATACAAGAAGGTTACAGAAAAAGAGGATTTTTTAATGCCGATGTCAAGTACCGTTTGGTTCAATGATTGGCATGGAGTTCTGATGAACGCAGTTCTACAGATAAGTCAAAATAGTTGTGGATATCTGAAGGCAACACTCGGCGTGTTTTTCATAATAAAACCTTTCTGTGGCACGTAACACTCCATCAGATTGAGAAAAGGRTTGCTGAATCGTTTCAAAAATGTCAATAATCGTCAGTCAATAGGAATATAAATAAAAACGGAGACTGAAAGACTCGATTGAAGTATCGAAAGTTGCTTGACAATCGGTTGTAAAAAATCTAATTTGGTTTCCATTTAAAATGTTGAATTAATGGAACATGAAACATTTCAGAGTTCAAACGCACGGAATGGTTATCAAATGAATTCAAAATAACATGGAACTAAATTCTTACAAAGAAGATTAAATAATAGCAAATCTCTCCAGCATAGAGCTGAAAATACTCAAAAGATGAGACGGACCAACRTAAGACAAATCATGAAGAAACAGTTAGATTATGAATGTTTTATATAAATGCACTTGCAATTCSTCACTGCTAGTGAATTCCCAAATTCTTCCTATGCATTTAAAAACAATATTCACACTCTATTGTGTTCTGAAATTATCGATGTCCAGAGCAGCCAATCATGACAGATATCAGGGGAAACGATTAAAAATCTAATATTTTTTTGCTCTTGAAGACTGCCTCACCTGTTTTATTGCCGTCAATGAAATAAAGATCTCAGTAGTATGCCTTCGTTATAACATTGTTACAATGTCAGCCTATTGGCTACTAGCAGATTCTCGCTGTATGTGGTTTATCAATCGTTGCAGTCTGAATCGTGGTTAAAAATTGGAAAACACCAACCAACGCACAGGCCAAACATAATTGCCACAAATTATAGACCATAGTAGTTAACACCTTTGGTTGAGTAAAGCTATAGTTTATTTCCGTTATAAGAAAACATCTAGCAAACCCTAAGGCAGGCATTTGACAAACCTATTTTTCATCTTGACGATGACAAGGATTTGCCACAATAGAATYSAAATGAAAAAATACCGGAATAAATAAGCACACAATTTATGTGTAGTAATTAACGCCGAAAAGGCAAATTCACCGGTAGCTGAAAAAAAGCCATTGAAATGCTTTACGTGTGTGAGAAAACGTTCGAATTCTAGATTTGTGTTCGTAGGGAAGCCTTTTGAGTGTTATCAAATTCAAGACAAACCTTTCAAATGCTATCTKATTGTGAGAAACCTTTTAAATGCTATGTGTTTGTAAGCTCGTTTAATTTATCGTAATTAAACGTTGTTCAGAGAGTTTGAAAAGGAGTGTTGCGGTAGTCAGTGCTGCATTATCTCCGCGTGGGGCTTGATTAATTTTCAAAATACCGACCAAAAACTTCAAACAACGCAATAGGCGGAGACGAAATTGATACTTTAAAAAGCCCCAAAAAACCCAACCACTGATGGACAAAACAACTTACAATTGAAAGCCATCTGAGGAGGTTTATTCACGTGTTTTTTCAACTCGCTTATCAAATGATGTACAAAGGCTTTATAATCAAAAGAGAAGGAAGCAGTGCTTTAACAACATCAGGAAACGAAGTAGAACGGATAGCTTGAGTACAGCGCCATAGGGATTTAGAATACATCATATTTGACTTGAGCCGTGTTTGTTTACTGCTTGCCGGACGTGACCATCTACAATACATTAACTCACGATCGCATATATGCATTTTAAATGAATGTCAATACTGCAAGAGATSCATCAGTTAGTTATTTATCTATTTRCAATTTGTCATTATGTAATTGTAAAATGTGTAATAAGAATAGATCAATTTGATTGATGTGATTAGTGCGCATGTGCGTGGGAGTCAATGGTAATCGTAACGATCTGATTTACGTGACCATTCACGTAGTTTTACTACTGTTACTACTGCTACTAGCACACTTTAATGGTCACATTTTGTTTCACGGGTTTAGTGACTTCACTCTACAAATACCAACACTAGTACTACAACGACTACGCTATTTTACTAGTACAATCTGAACTAAACTACAGTTATACCCTTCTACTACTACAAGTTACAACTACTACTACACCCTACCACTACACCCTACTACTACT